TGGGTTGGCCCAGCTTGACTGGACGCTTTTTGCGGTCCGGGGTTGTTGGCAGTTGTTGTGCTCCCATCCACTGGCCGAATTCGTCTCTCCCTGCAAATCTACCCGTTCACTTGGCCGCTCTCTATTCTCAAGCTTCCACGTTTGGAGGGATAGGTTCAGTCTCGTCTGATGCCACTTATATCCAATCTGACGCGCTGCCTACTTTGTTTCATGCGGCGATCGGGCTGAGCGCGAGACGTGGATCGAGTTCATGCGTGTTCCTCACCCCCAAAATTTTGCTGCCCAAAGGCCCAATTCGCGAAAGGCAACGAGGGCGACCAATGGGGTATACAGCCCTGTATTTGACGTACTCTGACTGCAGCAAGAGAGAAAGAAAGCTTCAATCCTTGTTCGGAAGCTCGCTGCTCCCAATTCTTCAGGACTAGTCACGAACATCGACCATCGACTGCAATGTTGGTGGATAGATCTTCAACCAAACATTTGCGCCTTGCCGCTATCTTGCATTGGTCCGTCGGCATCAGTACGACAGCCCCCCACTCCGATATTCCATTCGACGTTCAAGGTTGGTTGTCTAGCCTTTGGTCGGACTTTTCTCCATTCCTTCGATGGTCACATAGTTTTGCTTTCTACGCCATCGTGCATATCATAGCTTTTGCTTGGACCCGGAGCTCCTTTCCCCCTACTGTAAGCTGCCGGATACCTTGATGCGCTGGCAAGAATTCTGTGGTGAGGCATGGTGGCTCTACCTACGCTTTGCGTTCTTCGCCATCCCATGCTCTACCCACGTTCGATATCTCGCGTCCCCGTGCAGGCTTACACTTGTGCCACTTACAATTCTTCACAGATGATGCCAGGCCATCTATCAATCAATACAAAGTGTCACGAGATCTAGATCACGTTGCACAGAACCCAACCTACCTCCACAATGCTCAAATCTGCTCTCTGCTGCCCATGAAATGAAGCGGTACTAGGACACAAGGCGCCTGTAGTTGGAACGGGTACTGGAGGCATCTGCAGCTTCCCTTCTGATACGGTCACCCACTCTGACATCTCTTAGAATCGGTAGCTGGGTACTGGCCTGTGTGTCTTGTATCTATTGAGTATAAAGTCTGCGGTGGTTGGTTGTCACGCAGGGTTGTTCTATCTTCACACTCTCTCAGCCCCCAGCTTCGCACTTTGAAGGATCTCCGACATCAAGACGTGGAACAGGTGAACCGAGCACAATCAGGCCTGTTCCTCACCGTTTTCTTCTCGTCGACATGGCTACAAAAACCCATAAGACGTGGCAGGAGGAGCTTGCCGGTAAGCCCGAGGTCATGTCGACCCAAATGTTCCCACTGACGCTAAATCTTCGCCAGCTGAATGTCGCAAACAGCGGTTGCCCACACCTCAGTTCAACATTGTCTCCGATCGTCGAGGTAAGCCTGCCACCTTGAATACTACACTCAAGAGTACCACGTTCTTCCACCTACTTAATTTCGCCGGCTAACCCAGAGTTTGCGCTGTTAGGTGGCCGCACAGCCTGGTCTGCTACAGTCACAATCCGAGGTGAGAACCTTGCAGCCAGATACTGGTACGACGGGCAATACCTCAACAACGCGAAAGAAGATGCTGCCGAGGTGGCTTGCACCAAACTACGCAATCCTTCGATTACCGCCGGCCAGTCCACAGTCTACCGTGCTCAGTCAGGCTACGGCGGCCCCTGGGCGCGCTAATTGCCAGCTGCAACCGGTGTTGGATGCCAGCACAGTGCTCTCAGCTTGGTCAAAAGGTGCAGGCGGGCTCTGAGGATGAAGTTCCGACGAGGATTAATTATCTCGATACCTGCTGCACTCACCAGAGCCAAAACAAGAGGTTCGTATGGGCATAGCGATGGCGTTACGGGGACCAGCGGACACAAAACAGCCGAAGGCGGGTTTTCTTTGGGATTGAACTTCTTTTCCTTTGTTCCATATTCAGCGCATTATTCTCTCTCGACATCCACGAGACGATGAGAGATTAGAACCAGTCTGGTCACTTGTCCGAGCTTTCGTCTGTACACCTGTCAACGAAGGAGAGGTCTCAGTCCTCAGTCAAATCTTTGACCGCTTTCCCAGATAGAAGGAATTGCAGGATCTACAGCCATTCCACCCCAGGGATCTGTTGTAATTTCGCCTGTGCATCGTCCCGGCAACTTGCCGACTGCTCTCGCGTGCCTGGGCGTTTCGGCCACATGATCATCACATGTGCATCAGGTGGGGCCTGGGAAGAACCTTGCATTCACTCGTTGGGGGCAAACGTTTGTGCACCATGACCTGTCGTGTCACAGGTGAGAGTTAAGAGTAATACATACTCCGTATGTACGCTCATGACCCGGCAGTATGGGCATCGAATCGTGGGGGTTGCTTGAGGATTGTAGGCGCCAACAGAGGGAAGGCACGAAGCGTTGCGCAAACGAGGAAAAGTTCCGAGCCAGACAGACATTTCAACTCCAACTCACCTCCAACTCATTTTCACTTCACCTCCCACTCACCCACTTCAATATTTCGCTTTCCCGCTTCTTCCTGTCGTACGCCTTCTCCGCCGCATGTCAAGTACCCGTACGCAAAGAGTGACGTGTTAGATACATCCCCGTGCAAGTGAGCACAGCGGACCGGTGCATTTCCATCGGCAGATTTCATATGCACTGGGCCTTCCAGGCAACGAGATCACGACTTGACATCTTCACCGCCACGAAGAGGGCAATTGCTGCCATTCCCCATGCCTTTGGACCTGTCGCGAACATGTCGACCGCTACGAAACCCTCAGCGCTGACCTTTGATCTCCATGGCCGATGTTCGGTACGCTGACACTCGTCGATCCTGCCCCAGCTGCAAAAGCACTCCCGAAATTGACAAATTCCGCCACAAACCCCATAGACATCCAAGGCTCGTGCCTCGACCCTCCATTTGCCCCATGGCGCAGTCGAGCTACCAATCTTCATGCCAGTCGCGACACAGGCATCTCTCAAGGGCCTGACGCCAGAACAGCTGGAGGAGACAGGTTGCAGGCTGTGCTTGAATAATACATACCACCTGGGCTTGAAGCCTGGTCAAGCGGTGCTAGACACCATTGGTGGCGCCCACAAATTACAAGGATGGAATTACAACATCCTGACTGATAGTGGCGGGTTGGTTGGTGCACAGCACACTCCCTCAGCTTTCCCGTGTCTCCTGAACCAGTGACTGATTTTGGAATGTTGAAGTTTTCAAATGGTTTCATTACTGAAGTTAGCAAAGATCACGGAGGAAGGCGTGCGGTTCCTTAGTCCTCATGACGGGAGTCCTATGTACGTCCTCCTCGCCCAGGTCTCCAGCCCTCTCCCGAACAAGTAATCTCATGTCGTGCTCAGGCTACTCACACCCGAGCACTCAATGTCCTTGCAGAACTCTATCGGCTCGGACATTATGATGCAGCTTGACGATGTCATTCAGACTACGTCACCCGACCGCGCCCGTATGAAGGAGGCCATGGAAAGATCCATCCGATGGCTTGATAGATGTATCGTCGCGCACAAGTATCCCGAAACACAGAACCTCTTTTGCATCATTCAGGGCGGCCTCGACCTAGAGATGAGGAGACAATGCTGCGTGGAAATGGTCAAGAGGGATACCCCAGGCATCGCAATTGGCGGTCTTTCCGGTGGAGAGGCGAAGACTGATTTCTGCAAAGTGTATGCTTGCAATTGCCATCCAACCACTCGTGCCTTGGGTTTGGAGTATCATGAGGGTAACTTACACTTCTCGATAGGGTTGATACATGTACGAGCTTGCTCCCTGAAAAGAAGCCAAGATATGTCATGGGTATTGTACGGAAAAGCTCTTCATGTTCACGTATCGCAACCACTGATTATGTCAGGGCTATCCTGAAGATATCGTCGTTGCCGTGGCTCTTGGAGCCGACATGTTCGACTGCGTATGGCCGACAAGGACCGCTGTAAGTGGAGGTCACTTTTATCAAACAGGTTGGCCGTCAGCCGTCTCGAGCTCTGTCCCTCTGACATGTGGCCTTTTTAGCGCTTCGGCAATGCTATCACCTCGCGTGGCGTCTTGAATCTCAAACATGCTCGATACGCTGAGGACTTCGGTCCCATTGAAGAAGGCTGCTCTTGCGCGTGCTGTCGGGCAAAACAAGATGGGGGGCTAGGCGTCTCAAGAGCGTACATCTATCATCTTGCTGCGAAGGAAACGGTTGGAGCTCATTTGTATGTTTGAAATTCCCCTCGCACTTCTTGATTGCTCTTCCCCATTCACGTGAGCTAATTGACTGATCTTTCTTTGCATGCTAGACTGACCATGCATAACGTCCACCACTTGCTCTCGCTCATGGGACGAATCCGAACTTCCATTCTCGAAGATCAATATCCTGCTTTCTGCAAGGACTTCTTCGCGGGTTACTTTGAAGGGCAGCCCCCACCAGAATGGGCGGTCGATGCACTCAAGGGGGTAGGGATCGACATATGACAGAGTATTCTGTTCTTCATTCGCGCTGGCTTGAGGAAGAGTCCTGTTTTAGGCCGAGCACCTTTGGGAAGGCCCATTCTCTAGCCCATAGTGTGATATTGGGACACGAGGCACGTTGAGCGTGGGCCCGAAGCTGCCACCGCAGGACCGTGTCGACAGTCACAAATGGAGTGAAAAGGTGATGAACCACAGGGCTCGGCTTGAGGCATGAGGCAAGACCTTTGGCCAAGGCTTATCGCCATTCTTGCGGTCTGACAGCTACTTGTATTTGTAACACGGGGCACCAGTATATACTGTTAAAGATTGTCTGGCTTGCGCCTTGCTGAGAAGTCTACGGTCTGTTCTGTTTCATGAGATGGACGGCCTTTTCTTCTGGCTTCAGCGACTCTATCCGAATCACCAAGTAAGATGCTCGTCCTGTCCGCGTCGTCAGGGCGTTTAGTAACCATCTACTGTATCAGAGGTGGGTCTGCACTCCAGACCTCACAACCAGTTCTGGCAAGCTGCTGAACTTCGACGTCACATCTTACTTTCCCCGTTGAGCCCTGTCGACCTCCCTTCTCGCTCCCTGGCGAAACTCAGATCCAAAGCTTTGACAAGCGCATATATCCCTCGGAGGAGCGGCGTTTCCACGCCCTTGGTCTCCGCGAGTCTGACAGCGTTGCCCACGATGGCATCGACTTCCATTCTCGCGTGGACCTTTGCGTCGGCGAGCATGCTCGGCTCGACACCGGGCAACTCGCGGACTCTGGCGCGGTTGATCTGGTACTCGACCGTCTCGGCGTCGATGCTCGCGTAGCCGCACGCCTGGGCGACGTGCGAGATCTCGAGCATGAGGGATTTGATGAGATTCAGGGAGATCTCGGGGGGCGAGGCGTGCAAGAACTCGCCGTCGCGGGAGAGGGAGAGCGCGCAGACCGGGTTCCACGCGGCGTTGATGAGCAGTTTGCTGAAGCGTTCAGGCTGGACGTCGCCGTGGACTTGGGTGCGGCCGCCGCCCCGGTTGAGCAGCGCGGAGAACGACTCGGCAGCGGGTTGATGCGTCGGCGAGTTGGACGGGTACGTGCCGATGTGGAGGAGGTCGATTTCTTTGTGGACGACGACGCCTGGGGCGACTTGCGTGGCGGGGAGGTAGACTACGCAGGACAGCAACGGGTTGGTTGGATAGAGCGCCGCGTAGGGTTCTTCTATTGCGATTCCGTTCTGGATCACCGCGATGGTTGTCTTGGGTCCGATCGCGGGGCCGAGTTGCTCGGCTATACTCGGTGTGCTGGGGATGGCTTTTGCCGTGACGACGACGTAGTCGAACTGTTCGCCTGGAGGCAGGAGGGACACGGCTTCATCGACGGTGCGCGACACGTTGGGTTTCAGGTTGAGGTTTTGCCCGAAGATGGTGCTGTTGATGGTGAAGCCGTTGGTGGACGCAATGGTGTAGTTCGAGCGGCAAATGCAGTAGACGTTGGCAGGGGTGACGGCACGGGAGAGGATCCAGGCGTAGACGGCGCCGACACTACCGGTGCCGAAGACGAGGACACGGGGTCGGGAGGCCATTGTTGTGTCTGTGCTGGAGCAGGTGTTAATAGAATGTTCACCGCTGGAGTAATTGAGAAGAGAGCGGATGCTTGATATGAGCCGTTGATATCACGTTCTGGTCCTGACGAAACCGGGAGCAAGGCCGATATCAGCGACATGGTGGTGCATGGGAATTGGAGATCACGGAGAATACCCGCTGCCGGATATCCTTGAACCCTTGAGAGGGCCTGGGACTCTGAGTAGACCAGAGACGCAAAAGAGAATGCCAGCGCGTGTGGGGGTCTGTATCGAGGAGGAGAAGAACTGCAAAAGGTGCCTACCTTCTGTTGTTTGGAGCAGCCTCGCTGGACGAAGTTCGCTTTGGTGCCACAGCGAGTGCTCTAGCGGCTGGCTGGGACTTGGCTGCGGGAGCCCGAGGGGCTCTGGCAGCACGGGTAGATAGAGCAACAGAGCTGGTCCAACGACTATGCTGTCGAGGATATCCAGGGATTTGCAGAGCTGGCGCTTGATTGCGACGGAGTCCTGGTAGAGAACTGGGGACCAACGAGAAGATACACCCCACGCGACCATTACCTGAGGCTTTCATCTCTACCTGGGCAGTATGTCAGGCCATTGCGGACTTTGTCTTAGACACGGTGGGCCACACACTCGATAGTTGTTGCTGAAATCAGACTGCAGTCCGTGTCATGAAGGCTTTCAGAACATTGGGTGCCCAGAGATGGGTACGACAAGCAGATCGGTTGTGCGTCTGTGGGCGTCTTGCTTCGGAGTTGACTTGATACGGCGGAGCAGAAACATGACGCGCGTTTTGACTCGAGACGCGACCGTTAAATGACGTTGTCGCGCAGGCCGAGCCCGCCTTGAGGTCGAGACAGGGACGCTCCCTGCTTTATCTGAGGTCTAAGGCAGTATCAGAGAATCGGACAACACGACCTATCAGGGAGACACAGCGAGACTGTAAGATGATGGATCCCGATATACCAGCGCCGTCCGTCGAACATGACGGCTCCTCGGATTCCAACGTCAACGCGACAAGAACGCATTCACTCGCGTCACCCTCGATCAAAGTGAATCACCACGACCACACCCACGGACACCCGTCTCTATTGCGCTCTGCTGCACAGGTGCCGCTACCACCATCGTCACCCATGCGCAGCCCTTACCACACCCCTGCGCCGCCCAAGACCAAGTCTCTCTCACCGAAACCCCCCTCCCGCTCACCCTCCGTCGCAAGTTCTCGGGGAGAGAGGCAGAACACCCCGCCCCTGCGCAGATCGACATCCAGTCTGAGCAACGCAAAAGGCAGTACTCCTCAGTACCGGCGAGCCTCTTCCAACCTGAATCCTCTATCTCCTGTCATAAATGGCAAGATGTCAGGTACCGACCGGCCACCAGTGACGGCAAATTCCGTCGCTCAAGACTATTTTGGAAAGGAGATGGAGGCGCATATATCTCTGCAAGCGCCAGTGCTTGTCCTTGTTCATGATTCATGTTATGGCCACCGCTTTTCGCGCCCGCGTTCGACCAAGAGTGCTCTGGCTACTATTGTCGAGCGACCTGAGAGAATTCATGCCACTGTATTGGGAGCATCGGCGGCATATGTGCGGCTAGGCGGGCGCCATGCCGAAGGTGAATTTGCTCCTCGGCCCAAGCATGATCCCTCGAACGTACGAAACATCCCTTTCCAAATTCGCAAGACGGCTCGCATCATCCCTCTCACGCATCCGTCTGTGGCGTTCGTGCATGGCTCAAAGTGGATGGAGGAACTGCAGATCATGTGCGACACCGCAGAAGGCAAGTTGGCCCTCAACGGAAAAGAGCTGGTGAGACCGATTGGATATGGCAAGGACGAGAGTGGGCACCCACTCCCCAAATTGCACGAGGGAGATCTCTATTTGTGCGCAGAATCTTTGGCGGCCTTCCAAGGATGTCTGGGTGGTGTTTGCGATGCCGTGGACACAGTCTTCTCGTCGCCGTTGACGAAGCGAGCTTTTGTCTGCATTCGACCTCCGGGCCATCACTGCTCGTCCAATTACCCATCTGGCTTTTGCTGGTTGAATAACGTCCACGTTGGGATTGCCTATGCGGCTATGAACCATGGACTTACGCATGCTGCGATCATTGACTTTGATCTGCACCACGGAGATGGCTCACAGAATATTGCTTGGGATCAGAATCGCAAGGCTCATAGTGCCGCCAAGAATGCACCGGCGCACAAGAAAACTCCCATCGGCTACTACAGTCTTCACGACATAAATTCGTATCCCTGCGAATGGGGTGACGAGGAGAAGATTCAGAAAGCAAGTCTCTGCATCGAGAACGCCCACGGCCAGTCGGTCTGGAATGTACACCTTCAGCCTTGGAAGACGCATCAAGAGTTCTGGAAGCTCTACGAAACAAAGTACATGGTCCTCCTCGAGAAGACGAGAATATTTCTACGCCACCATACGGCCAGATTACGCGCTTCTGGAAACCAGCAACCGAAAGCTGCCATCTTCATCTCCGCAGGATTTGACGCAAGTGAGCACGAGGGCGCAGGCATGCAGCGACACAGTGTCAATGTGCCCACCGAGTTTTATGCACGCTTTACATCCGACATTGCCAAGCTCGCCGAAGAAGACGATCTTGGTGTCGAAGGCCGCGTTATCAGCGTGCTTGAAGGCGGATACAGTGATCGCGCCTTGACCTCAGGCGTGCTCAGCCACATTTGTGGCCTAGCTAGTGACACTGTCACACACAATCCGTCGAGCTCCTGTACGGTCGGCGAGAACACATATCAGACGATCAACAACTGGGTTGATCAAGTCAACCACACCTCCTCGGAGTTCACCTATTCCGCAGACTGGTGGACGTTGCAAAACTTAGAAGAGCTTGAAGCTGCAGTCGCGGGCCGGCAACCGTCGACCGCCAAATCTCACAAGGACAAGACTGGTGATTATGCGTCGCCAACTCAGGCTTCTACACTCAAGATGACTCATCATGCTCGTGAGCGGCAATCTCTTTCTGCGCTTCAGGCCAGAATGTCTCTTGAAGCAAAGTACGAGCCTCCACCGCCAGAAGTCGACTGGGCCGTCGCAGCATATGAGTTGTCCCGAATCATAATCCCAAACAACCGACAGACGCTAAGTTGTACGCATGAAGAGCTCAATGCAGAAGCCACTAAAGCTCGGCGAGAACGGCAATCAGCCGTGGGCGTCCCAGCGCCGTCGGACGAGCCAATGCAATTACGCGTTCGGAAAGCTAAGGCCCAGCCGCCTGGGCTTCCTGCTGTGCGCTCAGTCTCTCGGAATGCTAGTCGTCGGACGACTATAGCAGCAGTTAGTGACCTGCCTGATCCGACAACGAAGCAGCCAGAGGTACCTTACGGTAGAATGCGGCGTCGATCCAGTGATGCTTCAAGTATCTTGTCGAGCTTCCAAGGCATGAAGTTGTCGGATGACAAGGCGGGAGATAATGGGAGTGTGCCAAAGCCGCCGAACGCTCAAGTACCGTCCAGAGCACCCTCTGTTGTCCCCGGGCAAGCGGGAAAACAGGCTCCAGCAAGAAAGCCCAGAGTTCCAGCTGCCACCAAGGTGCCTGCAAAGCCAAAAGCTAGTCCACGCAAAGCGAAAGCCACTGCGCCACCTGTGCCTACAATACCTTCCACAACTCCTGCTGAAGCGAAGGTTGGGAATGGCATCAAACGAGAGTCGTCTCTTTCGTCTCAGGACGTGACGAAATCAGCGGCGACATCAGACAGCGTGGAGAATTTGACGAACGGGATGAAGAAAATCAGCATCAAGCTGAAGATGCCAAGCGCAGAAGAGCATGACGCCAAATTGCAACAGACAGTGCTTGATGACAAGCAGAAGAAGGCCCGAGCACCTAGGAAGCCTGCAGTTTCCAAAACCACGAAGGTATCTGAGAAGCCACCAGCAGCGACTCCCGCCTCGCTTTCCGATAACTTGGTTCCAATCCAACCGAACCCCGTGCAGCAAGAAGTTCAGCAGTTACCTGAGGCTCTGGCACCCCAGACAGCACCTTCTGTCATCAGTGAGAAGCTGGCTTCATCTGCTGGTCCAACATCCACAGATGGGACTGCAGAAATGGTGTCCGAGAATCCAGAACTGGATATCCCGCCATCATCTAATGCCCCTCAAGGCGCAGCATCAGTAGCAGATTCGCGGGTCCCGATCACCCCTGAACTGCCCGTAGATTCAGTTATGGCAGACCCCGAACCTCCTTCCTTGAATTCTTTTGCTGGCGTCCCTCAGGCTCCCGTCCCGGAGCCGTTCGCTGGTCTCGAGAATCCGACTGCCAATACGGTGACTCGATCTCCTTTGCATGAGGAAACGGACGCGGAATCTGGCCTGTCCGCAGCACCAACATCCGCAGCGTCCGCTTTGTCTGCAGCACCAAACCCTTTAGGAGCAACATCCCCGGTGCAGAGAACCAAGCAAGATCTACCACTATTCACTTCAAAGTCGCCCATTCCGTTTGCTGTACCCACGAACAATACGAACAACGAAACCGACGTGGAATATCCGAAGCATGAACACGCTGACAACACCAAGCGGTATGCCGGAATCTAGGAAATCCCGGAAACACCGCGGCGTTGAATACCCGGCGGAGCCACATGACAGGGTGGTGGTTGGTGGTCTGGGAGGAACCGCTTGATAGCTTGATGGCGCAAAACTCGGAGACCCTAATTCCAGGATCCGTTTCGTGGATGGTCGAGACGTTCTGGACGCCACACCATTCTTGACTTACTTTTGCTTTGTCTCGTTTCCTTTGTTTGAGCTGAGTCAGAGATACCCCATACAGCATGTCAGGCGCTTGGATACAAGGGATTGTGGCTTCGTTTCGGTCAGGCCAAGCATGCTGGAAAGAGAGGACTGGGCTCAGAGGCTCGTACTGTAGCCCCGATGTGCAGTTAGTTACGCTTGGAATGGGGCTCGGCGAGCACAGCCATCCATTGGATTGGATTGGATGAAGGAAATTCGTTTCTTGAATAGTTCGTATATTCGACGCCATTGAATTGGTCCAGGATGACCAGATTTGCTTCTTCCTGAGAGTAAAGCTGATTGCCTGCTTGTTAAGAGACATCTGTACTCGTAGAGCTGTAGAATTTGCGGTGCTAGCAGCGTCTGTGAATGGAAATGAAAGATGGAACGACATGGAAATGATCATAATCCGCACGCCAATGTAGGAATTGTCCCTCGTGACAGCAACGGTAAGCAAACATCTAATCCACGACGAGAATAACGACACCCAGTAGTACAAATTAAAACGCCTCTGCGGCTCGGGTTCTGTCCGTCCACGACTCCGCGCTCACTGAGGACCCTCTTCATCTTCATCTTCGTTTTCATTCGTCTCCGTCTTCATCTTCGTCTTCATCTTCATCTTCATCTTCGTCGCCCGAGCCCGAGCCCGAGCCTGAGTCAACATTGCTACACGCGTTCATTCCACCCCATGCCATCTTCTCCCTCCTTCCCTCCCCCTGATTCTCCCGCGCAACACCCGTAAGTGCTTGTGCATGTGCTTGTCCATCTCCTCCTCCTCCTCCTCCTCCTACTTCTACTTCTAATTCTAATTCTACTTCCGCCAGCCGAACCAATTCGTCCACGACCGCCAAGTCGGATACTTCTTGCGCCGTCCCACCGGCTTGGCTTTCTTCCTGCTCTGCATCGCCTCGACGGCCTGCTGGGTAGGCGGCGGTACGGCCATCGAGTCGGCGTACGTGTGCAGCAGCTCGTACTGGTCTTGGACTTTCAGCATGTTGAAGCGGTGCCAGGCCTGGATCTGCGTGCGCGTCCATCGGCCCGAGTAGATTTCACGTTCGACCGAGTCTTTCATCGCGGCGTAGCTGGCGTGGCCGTCAAAGGTGTGGTTGAAATGGACTTGCTGTTGGTGTTGCTGCGGTTGGTGTTGGTGTTGCGCTTGATGCGGTTGGTACCGAGGTTGCTGATATTGCTGGTACTGGTACTGGTGCTGGTGCTGCTGATATCGCGGCTCTGCATACGGGGTCGGTATCTGTCGAGGAGAGATGCGACGCATCGTGTCTGGACTGCGTGGACTGCGTGGACTCCGTGCACTGCGGGGACTGATCGTACTCTGCGGACTGATCGGACTGTTTGGGTAGGTGGGACTGCGCTTCGTCGGCCGCCGAGTCACCACGCTGCCGATCCGACGGAGGGTTCCGCTACTAACGGGCCGGTGGGAGTCCGATGGATTGTACGACGCTGCCGGGAGGGCGCCGGGCATGGCGATGGAGGTCAGGTCTTGGGCCGGATTGGCCAGGCGGGAGGAAAAGTCGATGTCGCCGTCGCTGCTGTCGCCGTAGCCGTAGCCGTAGCCGTGATCAACAGGTACAAAGGCGTTGTTCCGCCGGCCTATGTGCTGTGGAGCGTCGGAGGACCATTTCTGCAGGGACGTGCGGGAGCGCTTCGGCGGGAGGGACAGGTTCAGGTCCAGGTCTGCGGGGCGGGAGAAGCGCTTTTCCATCACGCGCTGGGCGTACGCGCGGGGGTCGTCGTTCTGGGCTTGAGACGAGGAGCGCTTCTTGCCCGGCGATGTCATGGGGCTGGTAGTCGCCCCGGCTCGATCGCGGTCTGTTCGGAAACTCTGCTGCGAGCAGTCCGCGCAGGTGTAGGGGTGGTCAAGTCGGGGGGTGAAGAAGGCGCCAGACCTGCATGCTAGGGTCGGGTAGTCGCATGGTTTGGTGACGCCGACCTCGCAGCCGCAGGACCAGCTTTCTACTTCGCGGCCACACATTTGGCTGGGGATATTAGTGCTGCGGTTGTCGAGGTTGATCAGGGTCTTGGGCTGTTGTTCCGAGTTTGCTGGGAAGATGTGGTCGAGGACTCTGAGAAATCGAGAGTGGAAGGAGCAAGGGAAGGGCGAAGAGTGTTGGGTCATGTCGGGTTGATGTGGAATGGAGGGATCAAAGGGAGGGTAGACAATAGGTTCTTTGTTTAGCATGTCCGCATGCATAGGCTCGAGTCACTGAAGGGGGACGGGACTCACGTGGAACTCCTTCATGACAAAAGACACGAGAGTAGAATCGGGGGAAAGACTTGGGAGGAGAAAAGAACTCTATTCGACGGTATAATATGGACGGGGCACAGAAATATACTCGGGTCGCAGATGAACAAAATGACATGGTCGTGAAGTATGGATACAAACAATCACCCACCTTTCTTCAGTAGAAGCCGGGTCGGGGCTTATCCTGGTTTCCTCCCAAGAACTCCTTAGCTCTGGCCAGCCATCGTGAGTCCAGCCATTGTGGGCTGAGCCGAGCTTTTGGCCTGCTTTGAACGGTAGCGTGGCCTGCGGCTGGCGGTACCTGCCTTGGTTGTGTCGCCGAGACCTCAGCAAGCGTGGATTTGTGCCGCTTCAGTAATTGACTTTGGTCCTCGAAGGACAGCCGCTGGAAGGCTTTTGACTGCTGAAGCTGGGTTAACGTGTAATGGCCATGTGCGATTTCACGGTTGAGGCGGCCCAAGAACGCTTCGTAGGAGGAATCGGCGCCGAGTGTTGGCAATTGGCGTTGCGCGTGCTGGTATTTCGGCTGTGAACCGATTTGAGCTTGTTTGTCTACTTTTTGGTGTCGATGTGACGCCCGTGCCTGCTGGAATTGGGGTGGTTGCTATGTCCTTTGGTCGTACTCTGCCGCATGTATACCCTCTTGCATCCGAGTGGTGGGGACAGGTTGGGCGAAATAATATACCCGCTCGACGACGACATAGAAGAAGTCAGAGTACCATCGCTGTTATGTTTGCGGCGCGTGTATGACCTCCTCGACCCAGGAGACACAGTTTGGTTAGCACTTGAAGTTCCTGCTGCCCCGTTATAGTCGATTTGCGGCTCGGTTTCAGGCCCCTCTCTTACCAAGGTCAGTGCTTTGGGAACGAATTCGTATCTTGTCCGGCTCACGCTGTTAGGTCCGATGTTGATGCTGTTAGGGTTGGGCGGCGCCATCAGGAGGGATTCGAACACTGGCTGGGGGTAAATATCTCTTTCCACATTGCTTATGCGGTGCCTCAATCGGTTTTGTGGCGCGCCAAATGAGTTGGCGTATTCATCCTGAGAAGTGCGTGGACGTTTGCTCGATGCAGACTCGTTCAGGTCATGTGTAACTGGGCGTTTCCCGGAATGGCAAAGGTAGCTGTATTCACTGAAGTCGTAATCACCTTCGGTACCTTCGCCGTAGAACAGCTTCATCCGCAGGCTCGTCGTGGGGGAGGGTGCTCGGGTCTGCAGTGGCTGTGGATGGGATGACCGTTTCGCTGACTGGGGGGTTACTCGTGGCGCCTTGTAATGCGGTGAGCGCGGAAAACCTCTTGCTTCCTTGGCCTGGCAACCGGGGCATTTCTGGCGGACAGGCACGAGTCCTGAAGTGGCTGATGCTCCCTCACAGGCGGGTATTGGTACGTAGTGATTGCAGCTATTCCGTTTCCGAGTCGGAATGCCTTCGTAACCACAAAGATACACTTTCCGGTACCACTGGCACATGCTATGGCGGCTGACGAATTTGCGAGACGGCAGAACCGGTTTCTAGGTATCTGCGGTAGAGGTATTAGCACAGCTGTATAGCAATACCTTGCCGTCCTGACACATTCTCCGAGGCCATGATATGAGAACGCGGCTCAAAGAGCCTTCGCACAATGCCGTCTTTGTTGGCCGTTCGCATCCGGAAAGTCGAGATGCTCTAGAGAAGGAATTGGACCCGGTCTGCAGCTGGCGGCGGTTGCTTTGCCGTCACAAGTTGACTCGATGGCCTGGTCTTGGTTCTAGTCGGAAATGGCATGTATGCTATAGAGTGAGCTACAGAAGGTTAGGTGACCGTAACACGACAAAGGGAAGCGCGAGGACTATTTCGGGCAATGACGTAACGGCAAGGCTGAGGTGCAAGGCTGAGATGCCGAGTCCGTGGTTGCCCCGCCGACAACTTGTGTGTTTCCGAATGAGGAAGCAACGACACAGGCATTGATCTCCAAACTTCCGCCGCCATTCGTCCAAACGCCCTCCGCATGAACCATATTGTCCCTGCGCATCCGATGTATTATTAGCTGCACATGGGAACCGTTTATAAATTGACCTGAACTGTCTGTATTACGTCTCAAGTAAACAAACCTCCCCCTCGACGAAGAACATGGACGAACCACCGACGCCGACTCGCGGACCGCCCGGTTATGTCGATGGCCCTCCCTCATATGTGAATACTCCTATGGAAGAAGAGAACATGAGTCTGGCGGGGAACAACTCGTCGCTAAGGCTGCTCCCGCAGGGTCAGGAAGAGTACAGACCGTATGTCGCATCCTCTGCATCTTCTGCACCGCCCGATTATGATGTGCCGCGTTCACCCAGGCGCAAGCCTGTCGCATCTTCCAAGCTGTCGCGCGTCAAATGGGAAGACGAGTCCGCGCCATCTGCCGTGCGAGGCCCTGAACTGCAATCGTCGTGGTCTTCCCTCGTCGCTGAGGCCGAAGACACCCTACAGCGCAATCGTGAAACGACCAGTTTCATCGGCCGTGCACCCAGTCTCAAGGCTACAGTGACACTGAAGAAAATGCCCCAGGCTAACCGAATTCCTTCATATAGAGCCCCTGCAGCAATTCGAACTTCCCCGGACAGGTACCGAGCTACAGCATCGAGCACATATAGTTCAAGACCGGGTTCGAGCCTGGGAAGAGCACCTTCGATCCCTTTACCTACCGCAAACCCTCGCGCCCCTGTCAGACCTTCGACGCCTTCGCGAGTGTCAACAGATTGGCCCAGACCTCCGGCGTCAACCGTCTCGTACGAGCCGGCAGATATTAACGGTAGCCCGCGACCAGGTACGCCATCGTCACAATATGGCGGAAGTCCGCGCAGACCCCTGCCTCCAGCACCATTATTCTCAGCAAAGAGTATGGCCACAGAGACCACAATACCAATGCCTGAACCAGAGTCGGAAAACGATGTCTTTGTCAATGGGCGCCCAATTGTGCCCGACAACGATCCGCGAGCGAGTTTAAAATCTGCACACTCGTACATGACCGATTCAACGTTCACCGAGGATGATGACGGAACAGACGACAAGTTTGACACTTATGGGCCCGCACCGGAAGGCAGACAGGACCGTAGAGGTCTGAGATCCGCCCAAATGGCGAAGAAAGAGGTCAGACTGATCAACGGCGAACTCATTCTCGAATGCAAGATTCCCACCATTCTCCACAGCTTTCTGCCCAGACGAGACGAAAGAGAGTTTACTCACATGCGGTACACGGCGGTCACATGTGATCCTGACGACTTCGTTGTACAAGGCTACAAGTTGCGCCAGAACATTGGACCGACTGTGAGGGAAACAGAGCTCTTCATCTGTGTCACCATGTACAACGAAGGCGAGATTGAGTTCACCAGGACAATGCACGGAATCATGCGCAACATCTCTCACTTCTGCTCGAGGACGAAATCCAGGACCTGGGGCAAAGACGGCTGGCAGAAAATCGTCGTCTGCATCATTGCCGACGGAAGACAGAAAGTACACCCACGAACCCTGAATGCTCTGGCAGCTCTGGGAGTTTACCAGGATGGCATCGCCAAAAATGTTGTCAACCAGAAGGAAGTCACGGCACACGTGTACGAATATACGACCCAAGTCTCCCTGGACGAGAGCCTCAAATTCAAGGGCGCTGAGAAGGGTATAGTCCCGTGTCAAATGATTTTCTGCCTGAAGGAGAAGAACAAGAAGAAACTGAACTCACATCGGTGGTTCTTCAACGCGTTTGGAAGAGCTCTGACCCCCAACGTTTGTATCTTGCTGGATGTGGGGACGAAGCCCGATTCAAAAGCACTATACCACTTGTGGAAGGCATTTGATCAAGACTCCAATGTTGCGGGCGCTGCTGGTGAGATCAAGGCAGACAAGGGCAAGGGCTGGGTGGGTCTGCTCAACCCGCTGGTGGCTTCACAGAACTTCGAGTACAAGATGAGTAACATTCTCGACAAGCCCCTTGAGTCGGTGTTTGGCTATATCACGGTCCTGCCTGGTGCGCTATCGGCATATCGCTACTACGCACTCCAGAACGATGCCACCGGTCACGGTCCGCTCAGTCAGTACTTCAAAGGAGAGACGCTGCATGGCCGCGACGCAGATGTCTTCACCGCCAACATGTATCTCGCCGAGGATCGCATTCTGTGCTGGGAGCTTGTCGCTAAGCGGGGCGAGCAATGGGTATTGAAGTTCGTCAAGAGCGCATACGGCGAGACTGATGTGCCAGGTAAGCATACATACCCGAATAGGAGAAATGATACTGACGAGGTGTAGACGCCGTCCCTGAGTTCATCTCCCAACGGCGACGCTGGCTCAACGGGGCGTTCTTTGCAGCAGTCTATTCTCTGGTGCACTTCAAGCAAATCTGGCATACCGACCACACGCTGACCCGGAAGATCTTGCTGCATGTCGAGTTCGTGTACCAGTTCATTTCCCTCCTCTTCACCTTCTTCTCCCTCGCCAACTTCTACCTCACCTTCTACTTCATCGCCGGCTCCCTTGCAGATCCCAAGATCGATCCATTCGGCCACCATATCGGGAAATACATCTTCGTGATCTTGCGCTACGTCACCGTCCTCTTGATCTGTCTGCAATTCATCCTCAGCTTGGGCAATCGACCGCAGGGTGCGAAGAAGCTCTTCACAGGTACCATGGTCACCTACTCCATCATCATGGCCTACACGACCTTCGCAGCATTGTACATTGTCATCAAACAGCTCACCACGCATGCTCTGGAGGAGACAGATCCCGAGGACCCATACAAGCTCGGCAACAACATTTTCACCAACCTCATTGTCAGCACCATAAGCACCGTCGGCCTGTACTTTCTGATGTCATTCTTGTACCTGGATCCATGGCACATGTTCACCAGCGCAGGACAATACTTTGCTCTCCTACCGTCATACATTTGTACCTTACAAGTGTACGCCTTCTGCAACACGCACGACGTGACATGGGGAACGAAAGGCGACAACGTTCTGCACACCGACCTTGGTGCTGCAAAGGCCATTGGGCCCGGCGGTAATACTGTCGAAGTTGAAATGCCCTCTGAACAGCTGGATATCGACTCAGGCTACGATGTGGCACTCCGAAACCTGCGGGATAGAATCGAAGTACCGAAACCGGCTGTCAGCGAGAATCAGCTGCAGGAGGACTACTACAAGTCTGTACGGACGTACATGGTGTCCATCTGGTTGACCTGCAATGCTGTACTTGCCATGGCCGTGTCAGAGGCGTACCCCGTGGGGAGCCACGTTGGAAGTAACTTCTACTTGACATTCATCTTGTGGGCTGTGGCTGCGCTGGCGATATTCCGAGCCATTGGATCAAGTGCCTTCGGCATCATCAACATCATCTCGGCGATCGCAGAAGGGCGATTACAAGCCAAGTTCGAACGTATCTTTGGAGGAGGAGACGAGAACGGACGGCGTCGCCAGGGGCTGGGAAGTGGTCTCTCGGAGAGCGGGAAGACCGGCGTCAGTGGTGGAAGCAGCGGCAGCGCGGGCATCAGCTTGAGTGAAGTCACGAGTAAGATTTCGGAAAAGTTCAGCTGGATGAGCAGGAAGTGAGGTGTCGCGTTCTATGGGCTGGAATATTCAAGTTTTCAGAACATCATATCTCGGCACTATTGGATTCATGTCATGAACGGGTGGTTGGATTTGTTCAATGAGGAAGGTCTGCATGATGCCACGGGCTTGGAGTAATGACTCGCACGGGTGAAATGCTTGGATAGAGGTGAAAAGTTCTGACAACATATGATGGGTTGGTTGGCCTGATGTACTACTACGAGTAGAAGGAACACAATAGGAAATTGCCAGCATGGGTGGAAAGGTTCAGAGCCGAGGGATTGTATGGTTGCCTCGTTACCTTCTGTCACCATAACTCTGCCCGTGACCTTGACTTTGTGTGTCGCGCGTATGCATACTCATACCCATACCGGTACTCGTACTCGCACTCATCACAGAAGGGCGGAAGGGCGAAATGAAGTGTGCACAGACTTGCTCGGATCTACAGTAGTGTCCTACTCCAGTAGTACCGACAGGCCGTAATAACTGACCAAGTTCAACTACTATAGTCCGTCTGTACTGGACCTTTTAAATGGGGATGTATCAGAGTGGAAGTGGTCGAGCAGTGGCACGATAGAAAGAGACAAATACCTACAGTAGGTACCTAACCATGACATGCATGGACATTTAGGACATGGATTAATAAATAATGATACTTTACTCTAGGTATTTACGATGTGGAAACTCAGGAAACGTGGAACTCGAGCTGTATTTCCGGATTTTAGATTCTAGATGTTATATCATTTTCCTAGTGCGCATTCTCAGATGAGGTATTTACTATCAAATACCACACTATGATCAGATCCAGTGGGTCGGGTCTGCAAGAAGAGACGTGGATCTTTCGCCCCAAAACAGCAGAAAGAAAACGTGGATCTTGCGGTCGAGGAAGACACAGGAGACACATGGATCTTGCGGTCGAGGAAGTCCAGACACATGAATCTTGCGGTCGAGGAAGCCACGAGACACATGGATTTTGCGGTCGAGGAAGCCACAAGACACATGGATCTTGCGCTCGAGCAAGGCCATCGCCGCAGCAGTCAATAATGTCCAGGTGCAGCCGCCAAGCAGACACGACAGACTGGGTTCGGATCTGTTGTGGATCTCCACGTCGACGCCAGATGAGACTTCCAGGCCTTGATATATATATAGAAATATACTTGCTGTATATATGCAATGAGTGGAACCCTCCGAGGACACATAGAAAGTGTGTCCCCTCGAGGGAAGGGAGGAGTGTTGACGCACCTGTAAATTAGATTACCAGGCCCCTTTTTTAGTTGTGTTTGTGTAATTTCCCGGTGTTTTTGGTGTTTTTGGTCTTCTTCAAGGTGTCCGTTATGAAAACTTACCTGAGCTCAGTCGACTCTTTGGTATGGGACGCCCTGGACGATAACAACTTTTCTGCGATGACCGTCAGCTTCATCCTCGGCCACTCTTCTTACCGCTGACGGAAGTGCTGGCTTCGCAGCAAGCAGGATCCTGCCAGTCGGAGCCCAAGGGCGCGGCTGCACTGGAACTGCGGGATGAGGAACAGCGGCTGGTGCGAAATTTAAAGGCACTGCTTGTCCTTGACGAAGACAATAGCCCACGACATCCCCAGTATTTGGATCGGTGGCTTGATGCCATGATACATCTGGTCGATTGAACCATGGGTTTCGATAGCCAATGCGCCAGGGATTGGCAAGAGGGACGGACTGCAAGTGCTGTGGAAGGATGGGGCGAGGGTTCACGACTGGGGGATATGAAGGAAGCCCAGGAGCTAAAGGTCGAGATCCTCGAGGAGGGGGTGGTGGTGGTGGATGATGTTTTCTCGGTTGACTCGGGACAAAAGTTTTGGGTGCGCTCTGCGGTACAGTCAATCTAGGAAGGCTTGAGAGAAGATGGGACCGACGAAGATGGCAGGCCTCTTGCCGCTCCCCCTCTGGCCGACCAGAGTCATTGGCTCCCTGAACACAGGACTGCTCAGCACTAGTGCCAGGAGACAGAGGAGTGTCTGTGTAGCCGCGCAACCCTGGATAGTCGTCCTCAGAAATAGAGACGCCGAGGTTTTCTGCAAAATCCCAAGTCGGCTGGAACGGATCGTAGAAGTCCTCGTCGGTCCCGTCACAATGGGACACCGGATTTTGTGTAGAATCTAGCTCAGTGAGTTCCGGCTGAACAAGGTTGTGTACAGACGCCGGGGTGTTTACCAAAGGAAAGTGGTACTGCTGATGACTTGAGATTTGCTGTGGGTAATGATAGGTTGGGGGGGGATCGAGGAAGGGGTTTCCGAGCGGAGTGAATGCTTCGGTGCCTCGTGAATCTAGTGAAGGGTGGACATTGCCATTTCCAACAAGAGAGTCGGCGAGTGGTGAGTCAAGCGAAACCACGTCGGATGGTGCCTCAAAGAAGAAATCAGGATCAAAAGTGTTGAGTTCCCGGAGGACAGGCTCGGCGTCGAATACAGACTCGGGGCTGCAGTTAGGCTCTTGTTTCGGGATAGGAGACTCAGTTGAAACTGCATTGGCATCGTCGAATGGATCTGCTTCAATCCAATCCGAAAGGCTGCAAGCGGTCGCGGTAGGAGATAAGAAAGAGTCGTCGCCGCGCTCTAGGCCGCGCTCAATGGCCCGGATCAGCCCAATCTCGGCCGGGCTCTTGAAGAAAGCATTGACCGTATAATCGCGCGGGACGCTGGGGTCGATTTGAACTGGTGACAAGGTCTGTTCCCAGTCGGGGAAGATTGGTTTGTATGTCGAGGTGTCGATATCGCGCACGGTCGGTCGGAACATGTCGAGCGGATTGACGGTCAGGTTGAGTCGGTTTGCTTCGAACAGGTCATCCAGTGACGGGCTGTTCGAAGTAGGTGACATTGCTGGAGATTCGATGAAGTTCCAGCCTTCAGAGATAGGTGGTGTTGACCCTTCAAGCGGCATCGGAAGGCTTGATCGCGGGTGGGAGTCGTTCTCAGTGAGAGCAGAGTCTGGGTCGATCAAGAAGACTTTCCGGTGCAGCTGCTGTTGTGTTAGAAGGATGGAGAATTCCCAAAATGCACCCGTGCATGCTAGATATTTAAGCTGCTTCGACTGGGCAGCCCACAACAATGCCTCGGGTGACAGAAAAAGGCGGTCATTGATCATCCCAAGGCATGAGGCAGCGGCTGTTCCAATCGGCAGCCGGAATCGAGGGAGCGATGTGACCGAGATACAATGAGGATTGTCGGCAATGCAGCGCTGCATGGAGAGTCGTCCTTTGTATGCGATGTATTTTATGTCCCTCCTTTGTCGCACTCGCCTTGTTAACCAGCCCGCATTGACCTCGGCAACCCTTCCTTTCTTTGTCGTACGTGCCCTGTAACAAGATCGGCATTGGTCTCGGTAAGCCCTTTCTTTGCTTTGGCCACAACAATGACGCTGGGTTGCCTGAGGCAAAGAAACGTGGCCAAGGAGCTCAGCCCAAGGGAGGCAGCGCAAAATTTCGACTGTAGCATGCTTCAGCTCTATTTAGTCGCCAACGTTGGCAATACAAACCTCCACCAGACATCAAGACGTCGGCAGCGGACTGCTCTGAAAACAAAGTGTCGTCAACATGGGTAATGCCGGTCTCACCATCCTCTTCGTTGTTGGCACTCTCGTTGGTCTGGCAATATGTGTCTGGGCCATTAGAAGATGTGCAGGGTCAGTAGTGGACATTCGAGACACTCGTTCGAGACCACAGGATTGGCCAGGTGGTAGACAAGCTGACTTGGGTTACACAGTCAGACAAGCTAGACGACAATTCGACGCGAGAGAAGCTGGAATTCTACCCGTCAAGCCAGCTCACACTCGAGGTCATCGGCAACATGATGTGGAGTGTTACCGGGTTTGAAAGGACGGTAGGTCGGTGAGGCGGGAGAGGGAGAATAGAATGATATGACGATAGAGAATGAACAACTGGTGTCTGTTTTTGGTGACTTCGGTGATACCGCTCGGTCGAGGATAAGAACGGCCGGGATTCTCTCGCTCTCGGTCATAAGGTGCAGCGCGACAGGGTAACCGACAGGGGGTATCGTGGGTCTGTACTCCGTGCTTTGTACTCGTCGATGGCGGAGGAGAAGGAAATCAGGCGGGCCATCAACGGAAGTTCACGCGTGCGCATGCGCATGCGCACGTCGTCCGCCGTAACCACCGCCAGTCGCACCCACCTAGAAACGTAGGTTGCCCCAGGGTCCAGGAACGCAGGCGTATTAACGTCTTAACGAACCGCATGGCTTCTGCCTGTCCTTACGGGCACTGAGAGGTACAGCACCGGCGTTGCATGCCTCGACTGAGACGCGGCTCTCTCAGGCTTCTGGCGTTCGTCTCTTTTCTCTCGCGACTTCTACCCAGTAGATCCGAAGCATTCTCATCTCAGCTCGATTGCAACCAATTTTTGTCTACTCTGCCATTCCTGCTTTCCGCATAGACTCTCGTCAAGGCCTGGCCAATAGAAAAGCGGAATCTGCACGCAATTGCGGCAACAGGACCAGCTTCGTTGTCTCGGGCAGCCTGGCTCGGTCATAGAGCTCGGTCACAAAGCAATGGGTCCAAAGCGCCGGCGTCTCGCGCTCTCTTGTGTCGCCTGCCGTCGCCGGAAAGTAGTAAGTGAGCCCACTTCAAGATCAAACACTGTGCCCGAAAGGATCACTGCTCTTCATTCTAAACACTCAACCTCATACTGACGTTTTCAGAAATGCGATCGGACATTTCCCACCTGCGTTCGTTGCCAGAAAGGGAGTATAAGCTGCGACTACGTTTCATATACGAAGCAGGACAGTACCCTCCCGACACCGTCTGAGGAGGGTCCGCATGTGCGCCGAGAAGGTTCCGCTTCGTCATGGACTGGTTAGTAGTTCCTCCTGTTTTATTTCTCAAGTATTCGACCGAAGGATCCGGTGCCATGGCAATAGTCAAGAACTTCCCGCCAATGATCTATACTCGTGGTTACATCGACCATATATCTCTCCTAATCAGCGCGCACCAGCGATACGTCGGAGATGGTGTCGTTGCCGGGCCTGAGGTCGTGGGTATTGGGTCCAGGCCAAAGTTGCCAGGACTCCGCAAGGCACTCGCGTTGGCTCGGGATCAAGAGGTATTACGGGCGCCACACGGAGCTTTATCGTACAGCGGCTGAACGGCTAAGCCGGTTGCTGGGCTCCTACAGATTTTGAGCAGAGGCTAACTTGCTGAGCACAATAGAAGACGCCAATATATGGCACGCTCGTGCAAAAGAACACGAAAATGCACGTGCTCATGCAGATAGCCAGAACGCCACCCTTACACAGACTCGAACCCAAGCGAAACCGTTGCGAGACCTTCAGAATCGAGTCGGCGAGCTGGAGACCTACGTGAGAGCAGCGGGTTCCCGGCCCTTATCCTCGGAACGACACCTGGGGTTGGGTCATCCTGCCGGTCCTGGGGCGATGTCGGACAAGAACGACCTACCGGAAAGTGAACGAGCATTATTGCGTGGGAAGAGTTTCAAGACGCAGTACTTCGGTCCCAGCCACGGAGCAAGCATATTACTCCAGTTTGAGGAGCTATCTCGCTTCGTGAAGGACATCCTAAACCGGCTGCCGACGCTCGAAAAGAATAAAAATATTTGGAAACACCAACGTAAGGAGCTCAATCCCAACCTGATACTGCCAGACTTCGACACCCTGATAGTCATGCTTCCGGAACAGACTCGAGCAGACGCTCTTGTGCAGGATTACTTCGAGACGTTGGAAACAACGTACCGCGTCCTGCATGCCCCCACATTCTTCCGGAAGTACAAAGAACTCTGGGCCGCATCTCTCAACAGAGACTCCTCGGTGTTTTTGGTCCAATTGCTACTAGTGTGCGCCAGCGTCAATTGCGCGGTGGCAGGCGGTCCTTCGGGGTTCAAGGGTCGAAGCAGTGTGGGCCGTGACACAGCTGTGAAGTGGATCGAGGTGTGTGAGGGCTGGCTCGATCTCCAGAGCCAGAAACATATGACGCTGGAGGTTTTCCAAGTGCGAGTGCTGCTTGTCATTGCTAAGAAGTTGAACTGTGTAAAAATAAAACGGGAATGGACCGTGTCTGGGCAACTGTTGCGTGAGGCCATGTCATCAGGTCTGCACCGCGAGCCCGCCTTCCTTAGCAACAAAATCTCAGTATTCGACCAAGAGATGCGCCGGCGGCTGTGGTTCACAATCTTGGAACTCGACCTCCAAAACAGCCTCGATCGAGGCATGGGCGCCAGCATTGGTCCGTTTGACTGGGACACGCTCCCACCTCTCAATCTTCATGATGAAGACTTTGACGAAAATACCGAAAAGATGCCTCCTGCCAGGCCAATAACAGAATTTACCCGGACCTCATTTCTCTGCTTGGCTCAGCAACACATACCTCTTCGACTGGAGATCATATCGACGATAAACAGCATACGCGTTTCGCTAGAGAAAGACACGGCCGTTGAGCTTGACCAGAGGATTCGACAGATCCTCGATACCCTTCCTGAATGGAATGAGAGTGCGGCAAACCCCATATCGAAAGATCTGTCGGAGCTGTTGCTCTATGAGTTTCTCCTGCTCATCCACCAACCATTTGCAACGCAGGCAGACACCCAGGCCAAACACTTCTACTCGCGCGTCGCTCGGCGGAATGCCGCGTTGGTCACCATGAAGATATTTACTGACATGCGGCCCAGTAGTGGGATGATCATGTGCAATCTTCGAGACGGTTTATTTCGAGCTTGCCTGACAACTTGCCATGATATTGTTGTCCCCGTCAACTCGAAGGAAGACCTCATGCAGGACCGAAGCACCGCAGTACGACTAGTTGAAGACAGCGTCAACCTGATGGAAGACCGCATACGCAGTCTCGGCCAGGGGTTTCACTCATACTGGCTTGCCGCCAGCGCCCTCGGTCTGCTGCGTTCCGAGCCCGCTGATAAATCCGCCCAAGAGACTGCTGACCGGGTGGCCAAGCTGCACGACTATATGGTCTCGCAGCAGATTGCTCCGCTGGAAGGCGCCAAGGGTGTGGAAGACGCCACAATGAGCACAGCGAACACCTTGGTTGGAATGAGTGGACAACCTACTCCGGCCTTACCAGAGTTGGATCCGTTTGTAACGACGACAGATCCATTTAGTGCATTTTCCGAGACTCTGTTTGATTTTGACATCACAGACCTCTGGTCCATGGGAGGCATGGGTGTAGGAACTCATTACTGACAGCGTTCGATGAGCATCAATGGCTAGTGGTGGAAGCAGGCTTTTTAAGCGTCACCATGCTCGGTGGCAAATTCTGAACGCCAAGCTTGGATTATTTACACGTGACAGCTCACGTGCTGCGCTAGCGTCTGGTGGACCAGTCATACGGCGGGCCATTGTGGCTTCTCACGCTCCCGCCTTCCAATCTCACTTTTCACTCATTCTCGCCTTACTTGACTCGCTTTAAAATTTCAACCCTTACCGCCCCATCTTCCTCCAACAATCTTCATCTCTTCATTCCTTTCTACCCTTGTACCACGCCTGACCACATTAATTTCCTCTCACACTCCTGAATTCTCTCAGATCGAGAACAGACCTGGTCCCCTCAATCAGGCTCACCATCCTCCCAATCTCAGCGCCCACCATGTCTTACGGCGGTGGCTACGGTTCGTCAAGAGACGGCGGTTATTCCAATGGGTACGTGTAATCGATCTCGACGAGATTTGGACTCTGCCATGTTTTGAGCGGCACTTCCTTCAGTGCGCTCGACATCCGACGCAGAGTTTCTCACCCACCACTTGTCCAGTTCTGACTAACTGTTGATTAGATACGGCGGCGGCAGCCACGGACACTCCAACGGCTACTCCAACGGCTATTCTAATGGCTACTCTGGTGGCTACGGCGGCTCGAACGGATATGGCGGCGGTGGTGGCGATAAGATGTCCAACCTGGGCGCAGGCTTGAAAGAGCAGAGTTGGGATCTTGCCGCTTTGCCAAAATTTGAGAAATCATTCTACCACGAAGATCCTGCTGTCACTGCCAGACCACAACGCGACGTCGACGAATTCCGCAGAAAGAACGAGATCTCAATCCAGGGCCGCAATGTCCCCCGCCCAGTCGAGACTTTCGATGAGGCTGGATTCCCCAGTTATGTTATGTCCGAGGTGAAGGCTCAAGGCTTTGCGAAACCGACCGCCATCCAGTCTCAGGGCTGGCCTATGGCTCTTTCTGGTCGCGACGTGGTTGGTATTGCGGAGACTGGGTCTGGCAAGACCCTCACCTACTGCTTGCCAGCCATTGTTCACATCAACGCTCAACCCCTTCTCGCTCCAGGAGACGGCCCCATCGTCCTTGTGCTTGCTCCAACCCGAGAACTTGCCGTGCAAATTCAACAAGAAATCACCAAGTTTGGCAAATCCTCCCGCATCCGAAACACTTGTGTCTATGGTGGCGTTCCCAAGGGTGGTCAGATCCGCGACCTCTCTCGGGGGGTCGAAGTTTGCATCGCTACTCCTGGTCGTCTTATTGACATGCTTGAATCTGGCAAGACCAATCTTCGCCGTGTGACATACCTCGTTCTCGATGAAGCCGACCGCATGCTGGACATGGGATTCGAGCCTCAAATCCGCAAGATCATTGGCCAAATTCGTCCTGACCGACAGACCTGCATGTGGTCGGCCACATGGCCCAAGGAAGTCCGCCAGCTGGCTTCCGATTATCTGAACGACTTCATTCAGGTCAACATTGGCTCGATGGACTTGTCTGCAAACCACCGAATTACCCAGATCGTCGAAGTTGTGTCCGAATTCGAAAAGAGAGACCGCATGATCAAACACCTCGAGCAGGTTATGGAAGATCGCAACAACAAGATCCTCATCTTCACAGGTACTAAGCGTGTCGCTGACGACATCACCCGGTTCCTACGACAAGATGGGTGGCCCGCACTTTGTAAGTTCACCTGCTCCCTCATCACAGGTTCGAGACTGACAGATATATAGCCATTCATGGTGACAAGCAACAGAACGAACGTGATTGGGTTCTCAATGAATTCAAGACCGGCAAGAGCCCAATCATGGTTGCTACGGACGTTGCGTCACGTGGTATCGGTATGAACAGACAACAACCCCTCCCCCCCTTCTCATCTCTGTCTATCTTCTTCTGTATTTCTTACCATTGCTGTCGTGTGGCATATGGTGCGCGCTCTCTTTTCGCTTGTTACGCTACTGCCCTGCGTAACGTTGTCCAGGCTTTTGTGTTCTTCTCGGTCCTTCTTCTAGACCTCCTGGATACCTCTGCAGTTTGCCAGCACTCAGCTTATTGACTCTCACATCTGCTTCGTCCGACACGAGTAGGTTGTGAGACATTTATTCCGACCACACCAAGCTGCAAATCCAGGATCTCTATTCTCCAAGGACCGTAGACCATTGCCGATTTTCCGGACATGGACATTGGCCACCAAGGGATGATGTTCCGAGCCACAGAGAGAGAGTGACATGCGCCTCCGCTCACACGACCTCATATGGTCCCCGACGCTCCGTAAGACTTCCATTGGCTAAGTTGCTAACCTATACACTCAAGATGTCCGAGATATTACTCATGTCTTCAACTACGACTATCCCAACAATTCTGAGGACTATGTTCATCGTATTGGCAGAACTGCTCGTGCTGGGAGGAAAGGCACAGCCATCACACTCTTTACAACAGAGAGTAAGTCTCACCACTTTCCCGGTAAGAATAAACTTTGCTAATATGACGCAGATGCCAAACAAGCCCGTGACCTCATCTCTATCTTGCAAGATTCGAAGCAGAACATTGACCCGCGTCTCGCAGAGATGGCCCGCTACGGTGGCGGCGGTGGCGGCGGCCGAGGATACGGTGGTCGCGGCGGTCACCGTGGCGGTGGTCGTGGTGGCTTCACTGCTTCCAACGCTGCTCCTCTTGGCCGGTCCAGATGGTAGTGCGATCGACTCGATGCCTTCGAAAGAAGACGGACGGAGCGGGTCGTTGAATCGTGTGTTCACTTCGCAAGTCTTGCCACACTTATTTCCTTATGGTCACGGTGACACGTATAGACCTTTGGAGCGGCATTTCATCATTGGCTTAGGCGTTCGAGGGCATAGGGCGGAAAAGATAGACTGGAGTCTTTGTGGGCTGGACACGACTTTATTTTCCTTTGGGCAGTGTTAAGCATTCCTGGTATTCCCACAGGTATGCAAGATGTGTGAAGAGTTCAGCATCTCTTGAAGAACACAGAGTTGATAGAGCTGGCTTTGCGTGACGAGAGAAGAGATGCCTTCATGGCCTTTATCAGAAGACGGCTGATATCGACAATCAGGCCAGCGCAAGGCGTGCAGGTATTGTGTTCATTAGTGTGACCCAGGACAATAGACGAAGATTACTTGCTACATAGCTTCCGTGTAACAAATCAACCACGCACCTGCCATGAACAGTCACCGCTTTTCAATGACATTTGTATGATTTGATTTCAGCCAACAACGAGACTGGCTTGGTTTGTCTGTAGACCAAGTACTGTCGCAAGATCGCCTTAGTCGACGCTTCTCGTGATTCACAGTAGGACGACGGTCAAAAGGAGTCATTTGACGTCCGCAACACAAGACTTCATTAGCTCGAGCGAGGTGGTGATTCTGTTCGCGAATAGCAACGTTCTCGGCTTTGACCTTGACGACCGTACGCGACTCGATTTGTGAACCAGGATCTAATAAGCAGCAAGGGGCCTTCGTCTATCCTGCTGGATGTAAACGCCAGAGTCAGAGATGGGGGCAATGCGCTGGAGGGCGTGTTAACGTACAAGCACGCATGGCGACGCCGCGTTGGTCCTTGACAGCACCGTCGAGAGGCTTAGGTCGTCCCATTGTCAGGCTGGAAAAGGGTGGCGATTGGTGAGAGGCCGACTTATGTACACTGCACATGCAATACGCGGCCAACGTCCAGGGTGCCAGGTATGCGGACTTTGGCAGACTTGCGTCCTGGATAGAGTAATAGTGCTACTGGGACTTGAGTTGAACAAAGGGCATCAGTGCACACCTCTTTCTTTGTTGTTTGCTGAATCGTAGCATTAGCAAACACAGTGAGATAGTTCTTATGGTGAAGTCTCTTCCATCTGGAAGTTACTTCACCATCAATCTTCAATATCACAGCCAGTCTATTCAGGTACTTGCAGAGGCAGGGTACACTCTGTCTGTCTGTCAAAGAAACTCTCGTCACTGGCTGGGTAGGGTACCTCTGTCAGAGGAGCAAGTGAAGAAAGGGGATATTTTGATCTTGGGCCGCATGGGTTCGTATACACATACAGTACGCTCAAGCGGTGATACACCGTGGTAGATAAGAGGGATTATGACTTGCGCGGGCACGGGCTTGACTCCGAGTGTGAGACTGGAGTCTGGAGTTCACGACTGTGCCGGGTGTGCCACTGAAGGAAAGTAGTCTCGTGTCTCTCATTTCCTGTTTGGACAAGCTGAACATTCCCGAGGTAGCTCTCTGATTGTGTTCAGTGTTCAGTGTGCAAAAACAAGAACAAGAACAAGAGCAAGAGCCATAGAACTGCAAGGAGCGTCGTGTCATCGAGATCATGTCGCGGCTACAGTATCTCGCTGTCACACCACGTAGTCTCGTCATCTGCATCTTCCCCTTGATACGAAGCACGCTTCTAGGATGAACACCGTGCAATCAGAGTCACCACATTTGTCCTGCCTGTCTGTCTGCCTGCCGCAAAGGGTGCCTGAGCACGCGACTGAATCCATCCTAAGCGATAGCTGGGATTTTTGTCCCGGCTCTTGAGCAGAGACAGCCATTGGATAAAGCCTTGAACGTGAAAGCCGCTAATCAGTACCGGGGACTCTCTACCTCGTACTCCGTAACTGCCTGGCAATCATGTGTTTGGGAAAGGAAAACTCTGGCACGCGTCGGGATACATACATACATACCGTGACACGTGGTCTGCTTGCAACTTGTCCTTCCGTGTTATCCGTGTGTAGGTTTAAGATTGACAAGTCTGGCTGCAGCCAAGGAATTCAAGAGATTGGCCGTTGGGTGCGCGCGCCTCTGTTCTTGTCAACAAGGCGGGAAATCCCGGAGGCAAGGCTGTTTTTAAACAGCAGGGCGATGGAAACACAAGTGGTGGTCGCAATAAATGTTAAAAACTGATAGTGTAGTATCAAGTGGCGGTTATGGAGGAACAATCCTCGAGAGGCGACACCAACTCTATCATCCATGGTGGTGGC